TGGAGGGTCCTCTTTTTTTATTTATGAGATATGGTAACCCTATCTGAAACCTTCAGTTAACCTAGAGTCAATCAAAACTGGACTCATGTTCATACACAGTGAATATACAAAACACCATGCCAGGCAAGTTTTCTCTGGGTTACTGATTTCATTCTGAACATTTCATGCAGTTTAAGTACTCCCAAGCACAACATAAAGAAAACAACACTTCACACAGAGAGAGAGAGAGAGAGAAAAGCAGGACATTTTCTCAAAGGGCTTCATCCAAAACTAGTTCATGTCAACGAGAGTCTTTCTATTGACTTTCAGTGGCTTTTGGATCAGGCCCAAAGAGAGTGCTTTGACACTAGAAGGACAATTCTGTCTATCTGAAAATTTGACTCTCATTATTTTTCCCCCTCATTGGCCTTGTCTACACTAGTATTTTTCTTAACTTTTCCTCACTATAGTACCAGTGCCAGTTCTACTGGCAGCAGTATTAATGTAGACAGGCTACGGGCATTTTAACTGCCATATCATCTAATCCTGGTTTTAAAAAAGCAGCAGGTCTACACTAACTCTTCCAACTTTTCTATTACTGGAGGCGCTGCAGTGCAATGGTGGGTAGTTTCAACAAAAATGCTAGTGTAGACTCTCCTATTGATAGTGATATTGGGACATCATCTGAGGAAGGGACTAGGATTCAGCAAAAGGAAAATGTTACCCTTTGTCAAGTGACATGGTCATGTTTTTCAGCTTTCCCACAGCCAGGTTAAAGGAGGAGTGGGGGTGGCCCTGCTCTGCAGCTTCCCTGAAAGACAAGAAAAAGGAATGTAAAAGGAAAGGGAAAAGAAGGAAACCCTGAGAGGATCCTCCATGTGAATGAACTAACCCAGGAAAAGAGCAAACAATGAGAAGGTATGAGTGAATTTATATTCTTAAGTGGGGTTTGTATTTAAAGTGTGAGACCCCAATTCAGGAAAGCACTTAAGCTTGTGTTTTTGCTCGTTAGGGATGACCTTATGCACACATTTAAGTGCTTTCCCAGATTAGGCCCTCTGTTGTTTGAAATAGTATTTTTCACCCCTTAAAGAAAGCACTGCAGCTGACAATCTGTTTTCACCTTCTTCTGTGTCCAAAAGTGAGTGAGTGTTTGTGGCAGGAATCAAAATTTGGTGTCTCAGTTCATTGGTGAAGTTACAGTGGTAAAAATTAACATTTACCACCAGCTGTAGTTTCACTTGCTGTGGCAAGTTCCACACTAAGGACCAAATTCTTCCTTCAGCTGGGTGCTCCACTCCTGTTAACTTCATATAGCTATGAGGGCAGAATTCGGTCTTAAGCATAGAGTTAATGCTTCAAATGCCATAGTAAAAGCAGCTGCTGCAGCAGGGTATATGTTGATATTTTGATGGTACCCACTATTTACTCTTTTTGGATTAGTTCTGGTGTTGCTCTAATGAAAATACATGTAATTGCTCCTGGAAGTGCAGACACACCACATACTACTTATAATTCCTGTGTGTGTGTGTGTATCTGTTCACTGCAGGTTTGCTGCCTACATAAACATCTTCAGAAGTAGGTAGGGAACTATGGATCTGATTCAAAGACCACTGATG